GCTTGGAAGATCTCCTCGGAGGATGAGGAAGGGTCTGGAGCGCGGATCTGCTAGGGAACTAGGGGAGCTCATCCTGGATAAAAGGAGGCTCGGGGGGACCTTTTCCCTCTCGGGAGCTCCCTGGAAGGAGGATGTAGCCAGGTTGGGCTTGGTCTCCTCTCCCAGGTGACAGGACAAGAGGAAAACGGCCTCAAGTTGCACCAGGGGAGGTCTGGATTGGATATTATGTTAAAAAATTTCACTGAGTGGGTTATCAGGCACTGGAACAAGCTGCCCAGGGCAGTGGGGGGGTCACCAGGGTTGCAGGGCTGTTTTATCCCAGCTCGGAGCACTCATTGGATCATGGCCATGGGAAATGGATCAGGGCCATCACTGATGCCTTTCCCTCAGTACAACCTCCGTCCCTTCTCAGAGCAGCTTGGAGGGGAGAGCAATAACCCACTGTCCATGGTGGTGAATTGGATAAATCTGACTTTTAAAAATACCTCAGCAAGGAAAAGGAAAAAAGAAGAGAATTAGAAATGCAATCCCATAAAGAGGCCCCTCAGACTGTAGGGAGGTTGCTTGGGATGGGGAGAAATGAAGGAGGGAGGGAACTTTCATGGGCTATAAAATAATCACCTCCCTATGACAGCCCCTTGATAAGCAAAATGTGCAGAAGTTCTGCCAAAAATAATGAGGTCCTCAGTTCCTTTTCTTCCCACAAAGATTTTTCCCCTCACATTGCATGACACCACCACAAAATCCTTGGTTAATTACCTTTAATTAGTGGGCTTTTAATACCTTTTATCATTAGAAGTTTTCACCCATATCTCGTGCTGGGTGTGTTTGAGGGGCTGGCAGGGACACATTTCACACTTAGGGCGATCCCATGTCTAAAAAAACAAAAAATAGTTTTGTCGGTTCTGAGAAAAATACTTGTTTGAGCAAGTTGTTTTAGTAAATTAAACTTCATAAGCTGCACTTGATCCAGCCCTGGAATTTCTCTGCTCCTACCATCCCCTGACTTGCTGTTACCTCCCCACCATGCTACAGAAAGATGGATAATTGCTCAGGTCCATTAACTCACAAAATTATGCTTGTCAGTCTTTTGTTCAAGTCATTCTTGACAGGTAAATGCATGTATTGATCTGGTGATATGCAGGCAGCCTCAGACTTGAATTATTCTGCTGTAAGAAAGAAATCTGAGCCCTGCAAGCAGCTCTGGAGCTCCGCAGAGGTTTCCATGTGAAGGTTCAGCCCTGCCTGAGGTGCTGTTTGCAGGAACACACATGGCAGCGTTCAGCACAGCAGCCTTTTCATAACTCCACAGGAGTTTGGTTTATGGCTCCAAATGGCATTTGTGTACCAGACTCAGCAGTCTCTGCTTCTTGCAGAGTTAATCCCTTTTGTTGCCACACTTCTGTTCAGTGTGAGAAGGAGGTTTTACACAATAACCTTCAAAAATGCACTGAAATTACCCTCAGAGTGCATGAGTTACACCCCACAGAGCAATAGAGCAGAAGGGAAGCTGTCCCAAGAGCAGATCAGATCTCCTGGGAGGCTGGCAGCTCACACAGACACATTTCAGCTCTGATGTCCATGATGCAGGCAGGGCACGCGGGCCAGTGCAGAGGTTGCCCAGACGAAGGGGTTGGGTTCACCCAGGTCAGGGGCTGGATTTGAAATTGCACAGAAATCTGGGGGAGAAATGAAGTCACCATTTTTGCTCACTTTTAGTCCATCAGAAACAGCAGTGAGTGGTTCCTTTATTGCCTGTCAAACCAAACAATTCCAGTAACAAACCACTGCAACTCCTTTGCTTCCTGATGCTGAAGGATCTGCACATGCTGAATCATCCTCACAGCACAGAGCATCTCAGGTCTCAGACCCTCAGGCCTCCCTGCATCAGTCTCCCACCAAACTCACCAGCAAAATGACATCTTCTGTTTCTCCCTAGGCTTAATTTGTAAAATTTTGTGAGAAGTAAATTTGTGCAAGCTGAGCTGTGAGTATAAATCTCCATCTCAGCGGGGAGAAAAATCTCTTACACACAAATTTCCTTACACATTCCTTTCCTTACAACAGTTCCTCTGTTGCATGTGTGAGGAAAGGTAGGAAGTCCCACAAGCTCAAAGCAAGAGGGAACTGAGCTGGGAACTCAGCTGGCTGCAATGCAGGCTCCAAAAGCTCCAGAAATAGAGATATGCACATCAGATTCTTCCCCCTCCCAACCTTCTGCTGTGGCATTGCCTTCTTGGCAATAGAAAATCTGAAGGTGATTTAAACCATGCCCTTTTCATGAGCCTGACACCAAACTTCTGTGCATTGAAATGCTTTTAGCTGCAATCTGCTCTGTGAGCAGTGCCCATTTACAGTGGAAACACAGCTTCACTCCTCAGTCCACCACAGGAAAACTCATGCCAAGCATTGCTCAAGTCTTGCTTCAATCCTGTTTCGGGGATTTAAGTGGGATGGGCATTTTGTGTAGGGTCAGATGTGCCCTGAATGTGTGAAAAAAGGCAGAAAAAGGATCCTGGCAGTCTCCTGCAGCTCTGCAGTTCACAGCCAGGAGCTCAGAGGGAACAGGGACAGCTTGGGTGTTCAGAACACAGCAGAGGGACAAGCCTTCACACTTCTGCAAGGAGGCTGTGAAGTTGTGGATAGATTTAGCAAATCCAGCAAGCAGCAGCAGTTCTTGGAAGGAAGAGATGTGGGGAGTTCCTTTGCTCCTTTATCTCAAGCAAAGTTTACTGTAGGAATTTTGGAGCCAAAATGCAAGTTTCTCTTTCATCCCTTGGGTATCACAGCTTTCTGCTCTGCCTTGAATATATCACTAAGACTTCAGGAGTTCCCTAGGCTGTGCTGCACACCCTGCTCATACCTAACTTGCTCCTGGCTGTCCCACTCCAGTGGGACCTCTCCAGAAAGCACATTTTCCAAGATTCTCCCAAGGAAAATGATTGATTTATTAATAACAGCATTTTAGTGCAGCACCATGTGCTTCAGGGAAGAGAGTTTGATCCATTCATTCACAAATCCTCCTGTAAACAGCACACAACATTTTCCTGAATCACAGAGCCCTTCAGAGTGCAGAGAAATAGGATTAAATCAATCAGCTCTGTGTGTTTTAGATGCTCTGTGTCATGCAGGAGACCCTGAGTGGTTCACCAAGGCACACAGGGCTGCTGGCAATGTTCTCCTCCTGAGGAGCAGCAGCTGATTTTGCAGGGACTGTGACACACAGCAAGAGCAGAGGGTTGTGGCACCCACCAGGGTGAGCCCATGGCAATCCAGGGAATGAATTCTGCTACTCTGCTCCAGCAGCAGCCACAAGACACCAGAACCCCCAGCTGGAACCCACTGGAGGCAGATTAAAATGATGCACATTAAAACCATCTCAGGCTGCACAGTTGGTGGCTCTGAGAGCTTGAGTCAAACCTGCCTCACAGGTTTGGGATGCAGGAGGAGAGCAGTGGGGATGGATGTGCCAGCAGGGAGCAGGAGTGGTCCAGCCTGTGAATGTGGCTGGGAAGGGTTTCACCATTCCCTGCAAATGGAACACAAGCAGAGAATGTGACCTGCCATCCCTGAGATCAAAGAGGAGGAAAAAGGTGAATTTAGGAGAATGTGTACTCCCAAAAACTCTTTTATATGGATGTGGTGAGTGTGAGGCTGAGCTCCAAAGAGTGCTGATGTCCCCAGGTGTGCTGATCTCAGGAGAGAATTTAAACGGGGTAAACTATGATAGGAAATTTGGGACAAGGATTAGAGCTTGTTCAGCAGAGAAGGGACAGTAAGTTCTGGATGCACATTGCACTTCTGTGTCATCCTCCCACACTTCCAGAGATTGTCCTGGTCCCTGTGAGGTCTCATGGACCCCCATTCCCACCCTGCTTAGGCTGGAAAAAATGTCAACAGCAATTTTTGGTGCCTTATCTTAATACCAGTCGTTCCTCCAACTGGAAGCTGCACTTCTGGTTCCCAGCCTAAATATACTTATGACCTGTTTATCTTTGCTTGATTCAGGGCCATGATTTTGCAAAAAATATAACAGCCAGCCCACATAAGTACTTTAAAATGCTGTCTCAGATGCTTAGACCAGATCCTGCAGTTCTTGCATGGAGAAAAGTCCTTATGACCTTGGTGACTCTGCTCCTCAAATAGTATTGGAATAAGGATTTGCAGGCTTGTCCTGTTTCACACCAGCTCCTTATTCCAGCAGCCCTGACTGTCCAGACATGTATCCAAACAACCCAGAGAATCCTTTAAGGTAGAGCAGAAACTCCAGGAGCAAAATGAGTGTGAGTTGAGTATTGGTGATTCAGAGCAACATTTCACATCTGTGCAATGATGTTGTTGTAGATGCAGAACTGCTTGACTTTCTCTTTGTTCAGGATTTTGTGGTCGTTCAGGTTGGAAAAGGCTTCAGCCAGGACTTGAAGATGCTGTGCAGCAGCAGGGAGCAGAGTCCAGCCCATCTCAAAACAGCATCCCTGTGTGTGAAGGAGAGAACATCCCTGAGCTTGGGCTTCCTTCATTCCCCACTCAGGGATTCCCTCGTTGCAGAATACAGGGAGAGGAGGTTGCTCAGGGTTGTACCCAGCCTCTGCCTTTTGTGAGAGGGATGCTGATGTGCCATTTGTCTGTTTTAGCATCAGAATCTCTGAAACACAGCGCTGTGCTCGCTGCACTCAAACACTGCGAGTTGTCAGACACAGATAAAAGCTCCCCAACATTAACAGCAGCAACACTGCAACCGCTAAATTCAGCTTTGAAGTTTGCAACCCACTAAGCCAGGGAGGCTGCTCCTCTCTGCGCTGACTCAGTGGGACCATTTACATCCCACAGCTATTTTTACAGGCAAAGAATGAGAAAAAAGCCACACATTTATTTTTCAAAATCCAGTCTTGGGTTCTAAAGAATTGTTTGCAGCAAGCCTAGATAGGTTTCCATGCCTATTCATCCCCTGGCTTATTTGATGAGCTTGCCAGCAGGAAGGATTTTAATTCCTTTTTATCCCAAACTATTTTTTCCACAGCTGTGATATGAAATGGTTCTGCCAAATAATTTAGGCTCAAAATCTGACCTATATTGAATAATATAAGATGCTGAGCATGTTCTTGGGATTTTAAGGGCAGAGTCTGTATTTCACTGTAGGGTTTTTAATGGAAGCCTACAAGTGAGCATTGTCTTACATCTCCTATCTTAATCCTATATTATTATTATTATTATTATTATTATTATTATTACATGCTATTAATACTGTAAGATGTGTTGATGGCCGACTTGCAACAGCATACAAAAAAGGATCTTATGAAACAGCCATATGAAAAGACACAGAACCTGTTTGTGTTTTATAGGACAGTTTCAAAACCTATCATCTTTTACTCAGTGCCCATATTTCAGGCCATATCATCAGACATCAGTTTGATTGTTGGTGTAGACTGCCAGTGATATTAAGAGTTGCCACGTGGCTTCTTTAAATCTATTTGGCAAAAGCATTCACCACTCCAAGGGTCCAGTGTTGCAAATACAGAAATTGCAATTTTCAGTGGTAAACATCTCAAATGGCAGATTTGGTCTGTACTTTAAAATATGTTCTGTGTGGGCAAAATCCTGCCTGGGAGCACAAGCTGCTTCAGGGCATGAGAGGTGGGAAGCTTGGGAAGGCTTCATTTCGGTTTCAGAGGAACACAGAGGCCACCAGCACCCACACACTGCTGTTCTCAGCTCCGAAGGCTCCATCACGCCCAGCACAGCTCCCAAACCTCCCTTTCCAGTGGCATGGACATTGTCAATGCATATCAACGTCCTCCTAGGAAAGGGAAGGGCAGAGCATCATGTCGGGATGTGACAGACACAGGTTCAAGTGCCTGAGGGGAATGTTTATCCCGTGCAGTATAAACACATCAGTCCGGGAAGCAACGTATTGCGCAGAGAGATGCCTCGAGTCACTTTGTGGAGATAAATACTGAGTTTGTGTGCTCCCAGCCCCGGGTCTGCCTTGCCCATATACGGCCCAGGATCAGCC